TGTGCAAATTCATTATACGAAGAAGGAAAATTCACATACCCACCACACAATTTTTATGTATTTGGTATTTACACTTGTAATGCCCTTGTATCATAAAGCTATGCATGAAAATTTATATTTCACTTTTATAAAGATTGTTGGAGGTTGTGTTGATGTGTCGATAAAAACTTTAGTATGTATTTAAGTATAAACATTTGCGTTAGATATGTAAATAGATTAGAATTGTGTGGCATGTATGCAGAGGTCCCTATAAATAAACTTAAAAAATTTAAAAAAAAAATTTGTTTTAGCACAGAGGAATATTTTCCTCGTGTTATTTCACGTTATTCAAGTATTATTGTGATGATATTCATGTGTTATTGTGTTATGAGAATATTCCTGGAGTTGTAATAACACAATAACACCTGAATAATGTGGAATAATACGGGAGGAATATTCCCCTGTGTTACCGGCCCGGATCACAAGAAAATAATTTTTTTTTCTGTCAACTTCACGTTGAGGTGATTCGTTGAACTCCGGATGTATCTTTGTGTCTGGAGTCCGGATATAATAATTTTCATTTAAATTTCCCCCAGCTTTCTTTCGCGCTCATTACAAATACATTACTTTCATTTTCCTTCAAACCAAACAAAAAAGAAATGATCATTTATTATACATCAAATCAAGAAAATCAAAAATATTTTAAATACAATACATTCCCCCATAATATATTCATTTTACATTACATTATATTTTCAGTAAATCAAACAGCCCATGCATGTGCATCATTTTTTTTTTAATTTTTAACTTTTATATTTTTATATATTTGCACGAGCGCTCGATGTGACTCGTTATAGAGCAAGAGCGAGAGGGACCAGTCGAGAGACAATTTAGCTAATAAGTTTCAAGGCTATTGAATCAATAAAATTTTGTGCCCCAGCTGTGATTTCTAATTAGATGAGTGTATGATAATAACCTGTTAAATATTTATTAACTTTGTTACAAAAATAAAAAAAATGAAAATGAATATATATATATCGACGTTGTGGGAAAAAAATGGCGATTTTCTACTCAATTTTTCACCTTTAACAGTTCATAAATCGGTTTAAGTGAACTAGCGCTTAAGCACGACTGGTTTGGCGCTTAGGCGCCTACCTCTCAAGTAACTTGTGCTTAAGCGTGGGGTTTTGGTGCTTAGATGTCAGTACACAATTTTGGATATTTTTCATTTTTAATTTAAATGCACATCTTGCCTAAATCATCCACCCCTAACTATCTTCCTCTTTCCCACTCTCTGCAATAGGTTTTGTGGCCTCTTATCATAAAATATATGCAAATGAACTACTTTCCGTTTAAATTTTGAAACTGCTATCATGTAAATTGGGCTTTAGTGATGTGGTTTATATCTCCACTTCTATTACCAACATCATGTGTTCGAGCATATACTCCTCTCAACTATTATTTCTTTATAAAAAATATATATAATTCTTGTTCATTATCTAAAAAAATTTGCCTCCTTATATATCTCTCTCCCTATAATTAGACATATAATTTAAGAGAAAATATTTGTGTATATATTACTATAAAATATGTTTTTTGAGTAGCCATTCAATTAATAGAGGGCGAAGAAATTGTCCATCATGAGTTATTATCCTAAGTAAAAAATAATTATAGCTTGTTTGGGATCAAGTTTATTTTTATTTTTTTTTATTTCAAATCAAAATATAAAAAAAATGAAATAAAAATAAAAAATAAAAGTAATCCCAAACTAACCCTAAGAATTGTTTACCATTCAAGCAAGTGAGGTTGAATAATACAAGAAAAATGAGTAAATTGTATGAGAAAATGCCACATGTTTGATTCTTTTGAAAAGTTCTATGAATGTCACCATATGTTCATATTAAACAACTATATCTATATATATCAATGATGACAAATGATTTTAATAATAATGCATACTTTTTATCATTATTATGTATGTGCAAATTCATTATACGAAGAAGGAAAATTCACATACCCACCACACAATTTTTATGTATTTGGATATCTCAGAGTTTGATATTTACACTTATAATGCCCTTGTATCATAAAGCTATGCATGAAAATTTATATTTCACTTTTATAAAGATTGTTGGAGGTTGTGTTGATGTGTCGATAAAAACTTTAGTATGTATTTAAGTATAAACATTTGCGTTAGATATGTAAATAGATTAGAATTGTGTGGCATGTATGCAGAGGTCCCTATAAATAAACTTAAAAAATTTAAAAAAAAAATTTGTTTTAGCACAGAGGAATATTTTCCTCGTGTTATTTCACGTTATTCAAGTATTATTGTGATGATATTCATGTGTTATTGTGTTATGAGAATATTCCTGGAGTTGTAATAACACAATAACACCTGAATAATGTGGAATAATACGGGAGGAATATTCCCCTGTGTTACCGGCCCGGATCACAAGAAAATAATTTTTTTTTCTGTCAACTTCACGTTGAGGTGATTCGTTGAACTCCAGATGTATCTCTGTGTCTGGAGTCCGGATGTAATAATTTTCATTTAAATTTCCCCCAGTTTTCTTTCGCGCTCATTACAAATACATTACTTTCATTTTCCTTCAAACCAAACAAAAAAGAAATGATCATTTATTATACATCAAATCAAGAAAATCAAAAATATTTTAAATACAATACATTCCCCCATAATATATTCATTTTACATTACATTATATTTTCAGTAAATCAAACAGCCCATGCATGTGCATCATTTTTTTTTTAATTTTTAACTTTTATATTTTTATATATTTGCACGAGCGCTCGATGTGACTCGTTATAGAGCAAGAGCGAGAGGGACCAGTCGAGAGACAATTTAGCTAATAAGTTTCAAGGCTATTGAATCAATAAAATTTTGTGCCCCAGCTGTGATTTCTAATTAGATGAGTGTATGATAATAACCTGTTAAATATTTATTAACTTTGTTACAAAAATAAAAAAAATGAAAATGAATATATATATATATATATATATATATATAT